TAGAGCAGATTATGCTAAGTGAAGCTAGCCAATCCCTAAAAAACAAATGCCAAATGTCATCTTTGATATAAGGAGAGCAACTAAGAACAGAATAGGGGGGAAGAGCATGAGAAGAAGATCACCATTAAACAGGGATGAGAGGGGGGAGGGAAAGAGAAATAGAAGGGAAATTGCATGGTAAAGGAAGGAGACCCTCATTGTTATACAAAATTACATATAAGAGGAAATGAGAGGAAAGAGGAAAAAACAAGAGAGAGAAATTAAGTACAGTAGATGGGGTAGAGAGAGAAGATGGGAGGGGAGGGGAGGGGAGGGGAGGGGGAGGGGAGGGGAGGGGGATAGTAGAGGATAGGAAAGGCAGCAGAATACAACAGACACAAGTATGGCAGTATGTTAAAAAGTGGATGTGTAACCGATGTGAATCTGCAATATGTATATGGGGTAAAAATGGGAGTTCATAATCTGCTTGAATCAAATGTATGAAATATGATATGTCAAGAGCTTTGTAATGTTTTGAACAACTAATAATTTTAAAAAATAAATAAAAACAAAATCTGTTGACAGCCTCCTGCTATAATCCTAGCTTTTGTGCTTCAGCCATATTGATCCACTCCAGGTGCCCACAGGGCCCTATGCTCTTGCATTCTGGGCTTTGCACAGACTATTCCCTGTGATCAGTCACCCTTTCTCAACAAGTCTCCACCCAGATGGCCTTTCTTCAGGGATGCTCTCCCATTACTCCACCCAGATGGCCTTTCTAACACCCAGACTGTATTAGAAACTCCTCCATTGCCACCTGGGACAGTACTTCTTCATAAGATTCCAAATTTATTTGTTCCATCTCTTCCTGGTGATGGAACAATGGCTTCTCATAGATATATCCCTGAAAATGCATACCGTGACTAGTATAAGGCAGGTGTTCAATAAGAGGATGCCCATGTTGATAATTTCAGCCCAGCTCTCCCCTCCTAACCAACCTGAAACTCTCATGCTCCCACTGCCTGTTGGGCATCTCCATATTAGTGTCTTACAGGTACCAAACACTCACCCAGTACCAATGTTAACTCGCTGTTCTCCTATCACCCATCATCTAGCTCCTCTCTGGGATCCCCTAATCCACTAATAAAGACCTCATGCATCCAGATCTCTGAGCCTCAAGACTGAGTTTCTCATAATACTTCCCTCTCCACTGCCTTCACCTGTAATCTGGCATCAAAACTGCATTGATAATGAGAAAGCAGTTTCCCTTTTTTTCTATATCCTTCCTAGAACCTCATGGGGCACTGTGTGAACTTCTGCTCAAGTCCATTCTCTTTTCAGTCTGAATGGAACTTCTTAAATGACCTGAAAGCCTACATTTCCTATTTCCAGGAGGATATAGGACACACTTTTAAAATCCAGCATACATGTGAGCCTTTCACAATTGAACTGTACTTACACTTGCAGACCCATCTCCATTTCCCATCACTCTACCCCACATACTCCCTATTTTGACCATAATTTTGTCTGAACTCGAATAATCCAAATAAGTTTTTTTTTCAACTTCCTTCTTTTAAAGTTTTTATTTGTTCTTTTTAGTTACACATGACAGTATAATCCATGTATTTTTGACCCTCTGTGATATGATTTTTCTACCAACATATGTAACCTTTATTCCTAAGGGCTTCAGGTTCTCTCTAATAAGCTTTTCTTGAAGCACATGAGTGACCTCAGATTCAGTGTTCCTGCACCCAGTTGACCTCACCATAATGATCGCTATGCAGGACCACTACTGATTTCTCACAGGGCTGAAGCCGCAGTCTATACTGGGAGACTCTCTGGGCAAGGAATTTGATTTTTTTTGTCACCTGTATATTTTTAACAATAATGAGACTGGGTATCCAGGTGAGCCTGGGTATCCAGGTTTTATGATTGAACAAAATGAGTGAATAAATGAATGCCTGAGGGATACGCCTTAAAATTTTTCTCAGAACACCTGTAGATAATCACCCCTGTCTTGATGTGTATGGTGACACAGAACCAGCAAGAGCAGCAAGGTCACAAGAAATCAAGAAGAATGTAAAGTTAAAGAGTGTTGGCTTGTGGGCCTTATAATTTTTTTACCTGTAAAGAAAAAGGTTTGCTTTATCTATCCCATGAAACAATTATGATTCCCAAACAACTGCAACTTCCTTTTTTTGTTTCTATGATGCAAAGGCCACCATTTTCTGGGGCTTAGGATGTAACCTAATGTGAGGTTAAAAAAAAAAATGTCAGAATACAAAGTGATCTGAGCCACATTGGACTGCTGGAAGATCATACAAACTTTGCCAAAACAAATAATCTTGAATGATAGAAATTATATGTGGGTGATAAAATAATGAAAAAGAAACAGAAGTATACACTCAGTACCCTCTAAATCTTGTCAAATATAATAATAATGATGACAAAATAATCTAGCATTAAAATGCAAGTCTTACAAAAAATCTCCACATATATCATTTATGTTGTTTTTTCCAAAAAAAACAGCAATTATTTTGGATTTTACTGTCATGTGTAACAATTATTTTCTTATGGAAGTAGAACTTGAACCTCATAGAAATTAAGGAAGCCCGAGGACAAGGACTAAATGAAAAGCAGTTATCTGCAGATTGATAATCACTGATTGGGTCATAGGCCATTCTGCCCATGCCTCTGGAGTCTGACTTATTCTGGTGTTCATGGCACTATCAAAACAAATCTCTGGCCATAGTGCATATCTGAGGCTGTATGTATTCTGTACTCCACGATACTACTGAGCAAAAGCAGCAGCAAAATTTTCAACACAGAAGGGGAATAGCATTTGTGATGTGTCAAGGTCACTTCTTGAGTCCACCCATGAATGGTCGGCTTAAACTTTCTTTTTAAAAACGTTTTCAGTTGGTGATTTAAACTTTCAATATGATCCAACATTTTTTCACACAAGCTTCTGCCTCTGACCAATATGCTCATGCATGTACATGAAAACTCTAAAAAGGATAAGAGAAAAGAATAGAAAAAACACAGGCTACACTAGATTTATGACACCACATTCCCAGTTATGTGCTAGATGTAGGGTACTATGAGTGAAAGAGAGGACATGTCCTTAACAAGGTTCTGATTAAGAGGACACAAATTCTACTAAACAATTAGGAACTCTATCACAGCCTTGCAGATTCTACCTACAATCTCTCAAATGATTCACTCCTCACTCTACTGTCCTTTTCTAGGACAGGCCCCACACTTGGACAATATCTACTCATCCTTTGGATATCAGCACTGAGGAAGCCATGTGCCAAGTGCTATCCATCATCTATGATTGATGTGCTTCCTGTGAGAACCCTCAGTATTTGGTGAGTACCCTTTTCCTTGTGCTTTTACACTGTAGTGAGTACATGTTTATCTTTCCCACTGTAAATGAGATTCTCAATTTTTCTTTTTCTTTTTTAATTTCCTTGATTCTAGTTTAGCGCTGAGCACATCATGTTATAGTTCAGAGAGAAGAGATAAAAGTGATAACTCAATTTATCAAAGAGGTCAAGTAAAAGTTGAGACTGAATCAAAAAAGCAAAAATCCTCCCACTCTTTATTTATTTCAGCATACTGATATTTCCATAAATCTGCAAGTAGAAGAGAAGCTGTTTGATAAAAGCCATTTAATATATATAATATACAGAAATAATTTTAAGTCTGTTTATATAATGGATTCTTTTGGTACTTACCAAAAAATTAAGATATAAATAAGTAACTAGAAATGAAACCATTCATCACTATGTAGTGATACACAGGAACTGCACTTCATTTCAGGAAAAAAATTCCAAATAATTCCTACTGAGTTAGAAGAATAAAGTACATTTGTCATGGCATACATTATCATATTCCATTAAATCACAACTATTTAAAAATTTTTAAATAAAAATGTTCAGGCTTAATTCTGTCTTTACATTCAGAAATAATTATATCACTGGCTACATACAATTCTCTCATCATGCAAAAAATGTCTCAGTTGTTTTCTAAGGTCTAATTAAGTCAAATGAACTAATAATAGCAATTTAATTATCACACTGTAAATAAGAGATGTGTAGAAATTGAATAGTTGAATGTTATTTCCTGCCTATAGTATTGCTACCACTCAACTGACTTTCTTTATCTATCAGAAGAATTAATAAGCACTTATGGCCAAAATGAGAATTTCATTATTGTAGCAGCTTTGTTATTCTTTTATAAAATCCTTACAATCATGTGCTTATGTATAGAAAGGAGTAGGAAACAGAAACAGGAGGTTAAGACAGGTATGTAAATTGAATACTGATAGCTACAATTATATTTATTGAAAATATTGATCTGGTCTGCTCAATGTACCAAAACAATCAGTTACAGCAGACGTTAGCGCAAGTTTAACCTGATAATTTATTTGTGGGGAACAAAAAGCTAGTTCTGAGTAGAAAAAACTTCAGATCTTTCCTTATAAACACAAGAATTTTAAAGATAGTAAGCCAGAAAATGCAACAGTAATGCTTACAATCCTTCTCAATTAGACAGAAAAGTCAATTGAAGACAACTGTTAAAATACCTTTCAGCCTGAATATATATATATATATTTCAGCCTATATATCTTCTTGTTCCAAGAAGGCTTTTGATTAAAAAAACTTTTATAAGAGGTATCACATCTAGAAGTGATGAAAATAAATTAGTTCCCCTTCCCCCTCCCCCTAGATGTTGTTTAACTTCTAAAGCATAAAAAGCTATATAATGTCCTATACAAATTAATCAGTGTTCTTAAAGTAAAGCAGTTTTAGACTGATGACATTACACTGTATATGCATTAATTAGGCATCTTTAGTCTAATCAGTCTCTAAGGTTATCATTTAATTCTTGGCAATATAAAATAACTGGAATGCATTTTGGTACTTAAGTCATGAATTGTGGAGAACAAGAAGCGGCATGTTATAGTGAACAGGGTTTGTATTTGACAAACAATTGCAATGTTGAACAAATCTCTTCTATAAATTTTGTGATTTGTTTTGCTGTTGGCCACTTGCAGTAGATCCTTGCTTTGATTGTTCAATGTCTGCCTCTAACATTTCATCTTCATCATCGTGTAGATCTTTTGCAATTAGTTGTCTAGCTAATTTAATATTCAGTCCTTCATTGTAGTGAAGTTTCCTCCTCAATTCAAATTGTCGCTTTTTTTCTCGTTCTTCAAGTGAGAAGTCATTTTTCTCCTCGACTCTGCTTTTTTTTTCTTGAATCCAATACTTTGGTTCTGAGCCTTCAACAGCAGTTAATTTCTTAGCTAGAACATCTGGAGTCATGGCTTCAGTGGTTTCTGTATCACTATATGCATCTTCATCATCACTCATCATACTATGGTAAGGAGTGCTTGGTTCATCTATTTTCATTAAACCATAGTCTTTGCCTGCTGGGTGATATGTTGCCAGGATGTTCATTTCATCCCACTTCTGGGATTTTTTACTCAACTCCTCTTCAACACTCCGGTGGGGCTGCTCCACCGAGGACACCACCGAGGAAGTCGCAGACGTCTTGTTCTTCAGAATCCCCTTGATGGGTGGGTGTGAGGCGGTGGAGGCCACTATTGCCGGTCTTTCTGGGTGTCGGCTCAGGGTCGCTGCTGGTGTGGGGTCTGGGAAGAGAAGGTCAAACGCTAGCAGAACTCACTAGATACCCACGGAGCTCCTTCAGAACTGAGTGACACAACAACCCCAAGGCCACAGCCCTCTACCACCGGTCCTTCACCCCAGAAATTAGATTTTTTGGGGGGGCGGGGTGGTACTAGGGATTGAACTCAGGGACACTCAACCACTAAACCACATCCCCAGCCCTATTTTGTATTTTATTTAGAGATAGGGTCTCACTGAGTTGCTTAGCACCTCACTTTTGCTGAGGCTGGCTTTGAACTTACCATCCTCCTGCCTAGTGGGAATAACTGCTTGAGAAAACTCGCATAGGTGAATAATAATGTAACTGGAATGGAGGTGTTGAAGTTAAAATAAAAAGCTTACTAGGACAAGGAAAAATAAAAGTCAAAGCAAAGAGAAATACATCCTATAAAGAGTCCCAGAAAAACCTGAGAAATGGTTTTATGAAATTTCTGGATATGGGTTTGATTTAAAGGCAACAGTATATGTTGTCACTTACATTCCATTCAAATGCTGCCAAAGCACTTATTGAAGCTGCTACTGTACCAACCAGGCCACTGTTGTTATTACTGGCAAAAAGGGGATGCACCCATCTGGAATGCAAGCAAACAGACTAAGGTTAGAGTTAAAAGATCCAAATCAGACTTTTTGAAAACAGAATAATGTTAAGTAGGGTGGTCCATTTTGCTACTTCTTAAGAGCAATAATCAGTAAACTATATTTGGTGGGCTAAATTCAGCCTGTCACCACTTTTTCATGACCCATAAGCCAAGAACATTTTTCCCACATTTTTGAATGGTTTAAAATTCTAAAGAATGACACTATTTTTCGAAATGTTAAATTAAATGAAATTTAAATTTCAGTGTCCATAAATAGTTTTCTTGGAACATAGCCATGCTCATGGGTTTAACATAAGGGAGTCTGGGTGCTTTGTGCTACAACAGCAATGTCATGTGGCTGCAATAAACTCTAAGGCTTTTAATAGGAAAACCTACAGAACTTTGCCCTGAGGAACATTGGCATATCCACTTATATGCTCTGAGTTGAACCTGTCTTTGGACCCAAACTGCCAGACCTCCTATCAACCCTTGCCCCTTGAATCAGCCACACAGACCCCAAAGCTGGGTGGGAAGAAGTTCTTTTCTATTTTTCCAGCCATAGAATCCTGTTCTCAGTCATCTCCCTTTTCCATCACATTGCCTGCTATGCTTAAGACTCAAAGATGAAGAGAGATCCCTTGAATGGACAAGCACCAGTTCTGACAGAAAAGAACTGGAGTATAAGACCCTGGAGTACTTCTTCTGTCTCTGCCTTTTTAACCCTCTGTAAAAACACTTTTTTCTAATCAGCTATTTCAGTACAGGGTAGGGACTGAACTGGTTTGTTGCTTTGGAATTTGGTTGAGACTTCCATATTTCACAAAAGAAGGCAACTTCAGACTGGATGCCCTAAATAAAAATCCATTTTTAACTTATAGTTGGTCTGGCTCCAATCACCCTAGCTGTCATTTGCCAGTCTCCATTTCCTTTCATGCTATTTAGGTGGTCACAAGTTTTGTAAAGAAAGCATTTACTGAGTACCTATTATATACCCATTATATACAGTCTCCATACCCATAGAGGAAGATGCAGTCTCTACTGCAATATAATTGTGGTCAAAGATGCCACACTACAAAACCCATATGATCAGTCCCTGGGCAAGGACCACTTTTAGCACTATCATAGGAAATAGAATACACTTTCAGTAACTGCACAGAACATATGAAATAGACAGATGTAGTACCCAGATATTCAGGGTAGGGTTGGAATAATTTGGGAGTAAGCTAGCCATTGGAGGAGAACAGAGAGGGGAGATTAATTTAGATAAGAGAAACAGTATTAACTCAGGTTTGGGAGCAAAGAAGGAATATGCTCTGAGTTGAACCTGTCTTTGGACCCAAACTGTCAGACCTCCTATCAACCCTTGCCACAACTCAAGTAGAACTGAAGGGAGATTCAAGCAGTACAGACACCCAGTGTGGACTGGAAGCAGCCAGGTTCCAGAGGGATGCTTATTTAAAAGCATCTTCACCAAACATCATTCCACAAAGCACTGTGCAGTAGTAAGAAGCCAAGGCAGAAGATTCTTGATGAAGATTATGGGAAAAGCACACAAGATATAACTGAACTTGTAGGTTCTCAAATGCCAGAAGAAAACCTCTCATAATTGGTGACACTATGTTTTTTTTTCTGGAATTACAGGTCATGATTATAAGTAGATTTATGAAGAGCCACCAGCAAATGGGCAACCACTGTACATCAAATAAGACCAACATGGCCAACTTTTTCTTTATTCACATATAAACACACACACACACACACACACACACACACACACACACACAAGGAAAATTGTCTCAGGAAACTCTGGTCTACTTAGCAGCCACGAAGACATTTCTCAACAAATTGGTCTTCAGCATTGCCTGAGCAGAAAAGGAGCCATGTGATGGTAAAAGAACTACAAATGCACCCAATATACCCAAGCTGCTCTGTTCAGGGTGCTAACATTAGTAAGTTTTCCAGCACTCCTAAAGAGAGAAATGTTTTCCTATAGACTATGTTATGACAACAGTTTTTTAAATTTTTTTTTTAATTCTGAAAGGTCAAGATGGTGGAGTAGAGAAGGTTACTTTCCAAATTACTCCATGGCTTGGGACCAGGAAAGAGTACAAACAGCTTCTCTTTGAGATCAGTTGAAAGAAAGAAAAGAAAGGAAGGAAGGAAGAAAAAAAGAAAGAAAGAAATCCTACTGGAATTTAATACTGGACTCGTAGAATGGACTAGGGACACAGAAGGTTTTTTGTTTGTTTGTTTTTTGAGAGAGACAGAGAGAATTTTAATATTTATTTTTCAGTTTTCAGCGGACACAACATCTTTGTTTGTATGTGGTGCTGAGGATCGAACCCGGGCCGCACGCATACCAGACAAGCACGCTACCGCTTGAGCCACATCCCCAGCCCAGGACACAGAAGTTTCGATAGAATAAAGCAAAAGAAAATAATACAACACCAGCACCACTGGCTGCCAATGCAGATCCATTGCAGGCAGGTCAGAGAGAGAGACTAAGAGAGCCCACATTCCAAGTGGCACTGAGGTGTGTCTTAAAACACGGGATGATAATCCAGTACATTGTTGAGCTGATCCAGTGGATGACTGCACTTTGCTTTCATGTGAGAGGGATGCTGCACATCTCCCAGTGACCTGCAGAGAGTGGGATCAGCCATCATCTTTTTTCATCGTGCTTTGGTGGCTGGCTAGTGTGGGTCAAAACCCAAGTGCCTAGACCTGTGTAATTCCAGATGGGTCCAAAAACCTTACCTGACAAAGTCAAAGGACCCAGAGTTTGACTAGAAAAACAGGTGAAATTCTGGCATGAACAGTGTTGTACTCAGAGGAATTTGAGACACTCAGACCTGAGAGATCCTGGGTGTCTGTTACACTTTGAGTCTTGCAGTTCACAGGACCAGCTGGGATGACTAGGGACTTGATCTAGTGAGAGAGGAAATGTGCGCTTGGGACTCAACCGAATGGCCAAGATAGGGAGCCATGGGAGGTAGAGGAGGGCAAAGGACTGACTGGCTCCTCCACTGCTCAAGTAGAACCCAAGGGGGAGTCAAGCAGTACAGACACCTGTGTAGACTGGAAGCAGCCAGGTTCCAGAGGGGTGCTGATTTAAAAGCTTCACCAAATATCATTCCACAAAGCACTGGGGATCTAGCTAGACCCAAACAGCACCACCTCTGGGAACTCCTTTCACAGAACTCTACACTTGCACCTCACTATGAGTGGAGTAGATGATACCCTCCAACACAACACACCTCATACTGCTGAGAAGGGAAGCTGAGAATAGGCAACAGGAAAAAACTGACAGCCTGCAACTACTAATACTTTTGTGCACAATGCATACCTCCAGAAAAAAATGGAAAGACAGGCAATTAGGAACTGACAATCAACATATAATATTATAGACAACTTTTTACCATCACTGCAGAAACAATACATTAATCTTCCATCAAGAACATTTTTAACTTTTGTGTGCTGAGTGGTCATGGACATTTAAATATATACATATTTGTCTCACTCTTATTTCTAGCATTTCTTGAAGATAGTTATTTTCTTGACTCTGTATTTTGGGGACTAGTGTTTTTTATAGGTATACCTTGGTTTTGCTTTATATTTTTTGTCTTATATTCTTTTTCTCTTATTTCCCTTGATTCTCTTCCTCTCTTGTCTTTTGCTAACAGCCAAATTTTATTGTTCTCTTTTTCACTGATCTTTTAATTCTTTACTATCTCTCTCTCTCTCATGCTCTCTATCAATTGTTACATCCTAAATCTCCTCTGCATTCTCCCTCTTCACCTTTTTTAAATGGCAAACTCTTTTATGAACACAACATTTATACTGTCAGCAATTGCCTACATACCCTTTCTCTTTATACTGCCAATTAACATTGGAGATGCCAAAATAGGAACTAAGTATTTAGTTCAATGTTGAATATTGATTGCATTGAATATTATTTGTCTACCACTAAAGCATGAGGTACTAGAAAACTTCAAAAACAATGTAAATTCATATAATAGAAGCTCTGCCACCTCAAGATTCTTACTGATAAATGGGTAGACATACAAACAACATAAAAAAGCAAAGGGAACAAATTATCCTAAAGAAGTCAAAATACCTCATAATAGAATCCAATGACATTAAAGTGGAGTAAATGACATAGAAGGAATTGAGAAAGTTCATAGTTAAACTGATCTATGAATTAAAAGGCAATGTAAGGAATGAAATTAGAAAGAAAATCCAAGAAGTGAAAGACCATCTAAATAAGTAGATAGAAATCCTGAAGAATCAATAAGAAATTCTTAAAAGAAGGAATCAAATAAACAAAATTTAAAACTCAATGGAAAGCATCACCAGGCAAACAGAGTTCCAGGTAAAGAAGATAA